TCATGTAGGAACAGGAACCATGGCTCTGTGTTTACGGTGAGCAGTTGAGAAGCAGCGTTTGGCATAGGACGGAAGAGGGTTAACGGCTGGGAGGCCGTGTGCCGAGTGCACAAGGACAGTTTGCAAAGAGAACGCAGAAGACATTTTTGAAAAAGACAGAAATGAGGGAGATTGAGCTAGATTACGTGAGGAAGTTGCATTTCGGGACCAGCTTGGTTTCGACAAGTTAAATCAGAGATAGCGGCTGAACCTCACAGCAGGGTGGTGAAGACATTTGGACTCACAGGCTGGCATGCAGGCAGGGATGCAGGCGAGGGGGCAAAGTCCTGTCCAAAATCCGTTCCAGCTTTTGGGGGAACATTCGGTTTAGAGTTAAGCCAAGGCCTGACCATGAGAAACTAACTACCATTTAGTTAAAATGATACTATTTTAGACAAGACTGAAGAAGATTCTAATGGTTGCTACCTGACATGAATGCCCATAGACTTTCAGGGCAGCACACTAAAGCAAGTACTGCAACTGAGGTTCAAGTTCTTTGCTGCAGCATCACCCATATGACTTCCGGAATGTCAGGTACTCTAAGGTTACAGGCAGATGATCTATCTACTATATCTCCCTCTTGTTGAGATTGTTTACATTGCATTTTAACTGTACTTTTATTGATTTCTTATTTCTTCCTTCTAGAGCTAACTTATCTCTTGTCGCATTTCAGGGTCTTGGTTTAAATTACCTCCATTAGAAATTAGAAGAGAAGTACAGTCTTCTTTTATTACTTTGTGGATAAAATAGTCCCAGAAGGGGAGAATGGACACTTAGAGAATAGTTTGAAGAGAATAGCATCATATCTGCCAGAGTAATGTGTAGAATGAGCGGCTCTGATTTAAGTTCTCACAGATACGGGGCTGGCGGAGGCTTGTCAACAGATTCTCTGCCGATAATGAAGGTCGGTGGGTGCCGTTTTTCTCATGGAGTTAGAGGTGGTACCCTCTCCTCTCTCTGTGAGTGGGTGCGTCATGACCTCGGGGAAATGAGAAGGCACCAGTCATATCGTACGGTGGTTAACGAGTTGGGCAGGTTGTAGTGTTGGTTGTAATAGCACAGGCCACTGCATTTTACAATAAAACAATGTACCATGGGTGTGCAATGGATTGGAAGAGAATCTTGATTATCAACGAGCACACACTTCAGAGGAGGTTAAAGGAATCAGGTGAGGCTTCCTGGGACGAATGTCGTGGATGCGTTGGGGCCACCCTAGAGCTCCAAGGTCCACGTTCAAGGATGAGTGAACCGCCAACCCCCACCGCTGTCTCTCGGCCAGTGGGCTTGGGTGGTCTCTGGGAGTCCCCTGAATGAGCTCCTGCCATTCTGAAGTGTCTGGAGTACCTCCCCCTGACAGGCACGCTGACGTGGGAAGAATTTGGTGGCTCTCAAGTCGAGCAGTGACCTGAAAAGACGCAGATTAGATTAGATTCGTGGGCTTCTTTCCAGTTTCCTCACCTTCCCCTCATTTTTGGTCATAGAAGGCTGTTGGTTACAGTGTCGATCAGGTGCAGGCACAAGGACCAGAAGTGCTCCCCATGCATTTGGCTTAAACAAGAGGCATTTATGCCTCCTTCCCATGAAAGCCTTTCCGCAGTCAGACCAGGGCTGTGGGGAACAGCGGGTCCCCTAAAGTCTTCAGTGACCCAGGCTCACTCCAGCTCATGCTAACTCATCCTTGCAGCAAGACCATGGTAGCTTTCCCATTCTAGACAGTGGGATAAAGAACAAGGGGGCAGGGGCAAAGGCGTGTGCCCGCTGCCCTGCAGGAAAGGTACCAGAGGCTGCCTTGGACACTTTCGCTTGCAGCCCAGTGGTGAGAACTTGACCTTGCTTTTGGGTGAACAGAGCCCAGCCAAATAATCTTCCAGATGGTTGAAGGGGAAAATGAATTGGGAGAAAGTTTATAACCACACCCCCACTTCCTATTGCAATGGCACCGTGGTATCAGTGGGTGGACTTCTGTAACTGCCATTGGAGGAGGCAGTGGAAGCCGAGTGGGGGGTGCAGAGCCATGGAGAGACCAGGCATCACGCCGCCTGGGCACGACTCTCTCAGACGTAAAGGCAGAATAGTGTGAGTGCCTTCCTCTTTGAGCTGTTGGGACAAATCAGTGAAATACTGAGCATCAGACACTGAGCGTGCCATTTAACACTTCTGAACCATTTGATAAATGTTAGCTCTTCTGAAATGTAAAGTGAAAAGCTTTCAAGCATCCAAGTGCATTTGACTTTTCTCTACATCCCTACCACTCGGGGGACAGGCTTGCTTTCTCTTCCAGACGTGGTGACATCCAGAGGGGTTTGCGTTTTGCTTCCGGAATGCAGCTAGCCTGCGCGTGCGAGGCTGGGCCTGGGGTGTGTCCTACCAGATCTGGAGGGATGCGTGATTTTCTTGAATTCGCCTCACGTGTTTCACTGGCAGCGCCCTGCAGGCTGCTGTCTTACTTCCTATCAGTTTTGAGGTGAAGCATGTTTCACACGGAGAGTGGGCTGCTCCCCCTTTGCACTGCTGTAACACGGCGGGGACCGCGTGCCGCCTCCCGGAGATGGCCATCCTCGATGGAAGTGTCGGAGGTGGCCACACGGAGGGAGATGCTGTCTTCACCTGCCGAGAGGTAGACAGCCCCGAACCGTGGCACGAACGTCACTCAGAATGTGGAAGTCTGCTTGCTCTTCGTTCAGAAACAGTGATAAGGAGCAAAGCGAGTGATAGCGAGCGAGGCTGGACGTCCCAACTTTGATGTGACAATTTTCTTCTGATTCCAGGCAACGGAATAGCTGTGTTGAGATGTTTTTTTGCCGATGCCTAAATGTTGTTTCTCTCTCTCTCTCTCTCCCCCGAAGCCCCTTCTTTGTTCTGTGGGTTTTCTCTTGTCGCCCCTCCAGAGTACAGCTTTGTCCCTCCCTCTTCCACTCCCTTCTGGTCAGGTACTGCTTTGCTGTTTTTGTGTGTCTTTTTAACTGGCTTCTGTCTGCAAAAAAAAAAAAAAAAATTCAGCCTTCTCTGTATGGCTTCTCATGTAGACACATCTCCTCACAAACGGTCCCTAGAGTCACATTCGCACTGTGTACCCTCGTCCCCTCTGTCACAGAGTCACCGTTCGTCATGACATCTCACTGCTCTGGTTTCTGTGTGTGCTCCCGTGACGTGTTCCAGGGAGACAGTTTCTATTCCATCCGTGGGGGAGGCGGGGAAGGGAAGGGGGCTGAGCAGAGAGGGGAGGGCGTGAGAGACCCCGTGAGACCACTAGTTTCCTTCAGGATCAGACATTTTGGTTGAGAATGGCCAGTGTCTAGCTTTATCCACCAAGAAAATAATTAGAACCCAGACCCCAGCTTGGTCTGCAGACATGAGTAGAATTTCAGTACTGATTGCTTCGAGGACAACTGGGCCCTTCGCTTTTTACACGGGCATTTTGGTCTTGACTTCTGCCATTAGTTGGAGGATTTGGGGGTTGTTTAGGTGATATGTAGGAGAGTACATTATGGCTAAAGTATATTTCCTTACAGATTTTAAAAAATGAACCTCGAAGTCCCCATGGACTCTTGGAATAATCTAGAACCAGGAGGACCTTAGAAGTCACCTAGTGCAGACCTTTCATTGTGTAGGCGAGAAAAATGTGGCCTCGGGAGCCTCAGAGACTGGGCAAGGCCTCGCAGTTTAGTTGATAAGTGGCTTTTGCCACCGCAGGGCTATTTTTATGTTCACCTGCCCACGTAGGGGGTGTGCCCCGCAATGGGACAGCATTCAGTAAGAAAACCATTAAAGTGGCTTTTGTCCGAACAGTAAAAATAAAATGACCTATTTCTACTCCCGCTACAGTTCTGAAATCTACAGCATTGCTATTCATTGATCTTAGGATTGACACCTGGAGAGTAAAAAAAAAAATTCGGTCATTGCAAAGCCATGACTAATGGGCCAGAGATCCCTGTCCCCGCACGGGCAGGCTCTGCCGGGGTGACCCAGGCCGTCCCCGAGCTCGGGGACTGTCCAGCAGACCGAGGGGAGTGTTTCCTCTCTGTTTCTTTTTCTTCTACTGAAGTTTCTTCGGTCCCAGGTGAGTGATTCTCAGAATCACTGAACCTATAATTGAAAGCACTTTATAACCCAAAGAACAACAGGTAGAGAAGTTAATATAGAATATGTCACGAACCACGAGAGCGGAATAGACTCGCACAGCCTGAATGCAGTTTTCCTCCGTTCAAAGCAGTGAGGGTGGCGAATATGTTAGCTCCCACCATTAACACAAAAATCCAAATATAGGAGATGAAGCCCTGGCATCGTTTTTGATTATTATGTACTTCTGGGAGGCAGAGAACAGATTAACAATGTTTGTGAGATCTTTGTGTGAAACCTGATGTAAGCATCTTCACATAAGTGAAGTTACAACATATATAAAACAGTAACTGAGTTTATCCCCAAATAGTTTTAATAATAATATTTTTAAAAGCCTAGCTGGGGGAGGAAAATGCCATTGAACTAGAAGTGATCAACGGAGACTTTCCGAGGGGAACAAATGCATTGGTTGTTTTGAATCTTTCGTCAGAAAGGTTACGGATGAAAAGGTAACTGTAGAGCTTGTTACCATAGTGGCTCTAGATAGAAATAGGTTGTCGTGCCGTTAGTAGGGCATTTACGAGAGTTACTGTAGATTGTGTCTCCTTTGATAGTCACTTAAACATTTACCTCTAAAGAGAACAGTCATCCCTGTTTCGAAGTCACGAAGAAGGTGGAAACAGGACCGTGGTATTGAGACTTCAGGGAGTGAGCTTGACCCCACCTGATTGAATTGAAACGGCCGCTCTGCTGCTTGCTCCCGCGCTCCCCCGTCATTGTCACCGGTCCATAGTGAGGTCGTGGCTGTGCACTCCGATAGCATCGCTAACGCCCATCCCAACGGCCCCCACTGAGCGGCTTGTGACACTGTCACTCAGCGGGCCCCCACCGTGTCTTTGCAGTGCTGAGTCCGAAAGTGCTGGGCATCGCCGTGGCGCGCTACGACTTCTGTGCTCGGGACATGCGCGAGCTGTCCTTGCTGAAAGGGGACGTGGTGAAGATCTACACGAAGATGAGTGGGAACGGCTGGTGGAGAGGGGAAGTGAATGGCAAGGTAAGCCGACCCTCTCAGTGTGCTTGTGGCCGAGAGTGCTGGGGACTAGGCAGCTGCTGGCCTGCACGGTGGTGCTGGGCAGCAGGCCTCACCCCCCTTCCCCCGGAGCTCTGGTGGTCCCTGCCCATCAGGGGCCCTCAGGGAAAACGCATTGAATGAAGGTGATAGTGGCACAAATGATGTTCTCTTGGGGGAGCACCAGTGCGGGGGCTACCTGTTGGGACAGGGGTTGAGGAGCATCTTTCGAGTTCCCCGGCCTCAGTGCACACACACTCTGGGGAGAACACCTCTAAGGGCTGCTGGGCTCCGCTGGAAGGACGGGGGCTCCGGACCTGTCTGCACACCCTGTCCCATTTCACAGCGGAAACAGGAGCCCTACAACTCCAGAGCCCTGGGGTGTACTTCATTTGCATATTTATTGGCGTGCCAGCCAATGGGGACTTGGTTTCACTGTATTTCACTCCTCTGTTTCTGTCACTCTCGGCGGCTCTTGGAGCCATTAAATCAACCTCCTCCACCTACAACGGGCACCAAACTCCGAGTCACCAGGATGTTAAGGAAACAAAATGCCCTGTGTGCAGACCCCCTGGTGGCACCAGATGCAAAGTCATGTTGCTCTGTTGGTTGCTTGTCTCTTGCAGGTGGGCTGGTTCCCATCCACATATGTGGAAATGGACGAGTAGACGCTAGTCCCGTGTGGCACCTGGCACCAGAAACCCAGGGAAGGGGCCAGCCGCCAAAGCTGGCGCGGCGCGGCGACGGAGCCCAAGTGTTTCAGAAGCTGCCTTTCTGGCTATTCCACATCCTCCCTTCTAAGTCTTAATGTCGGGTCTGAAAGTGCTGGTCCCGACAGATGAACGGTTCGCCGAGAGCCGGCCAAGAAGCAGCTGACCAGCCGGTCGTTGTCAGGAACCAGGGCAGAGCCAAAAGCTGCTGTTTCCCAAAGACCCCTGCACACACCTTGGCTCACCTTTCCTTCTCCTTTGTCCGGACACATCGCCCACCACTGGTAAACGTGTGCCGCGTCTTTCTCCTCGATCCAGTCACAGGATCCTTCTGTGGGACGGAGCAGCAGACATTTAATTTTGTCCCCATTTCCAGCGCAAAGGAAAATGAGAGCTCCGCCCTTCATGCAGCCCAGTGGAGGGGTCAGCTGGACGCATCTGACACAGCCTCACAGGATGACTCGTTGCCTGGCAAACACTTTTATTTAATTATTCATTTGATATCCTGACCATCTTTGCAAGCTGCTTTATGAAAGGACAAAAGTACATAAAAGAGGGTGGCTCCGGATAAAATCCTCACAACCCGTGTGACTTCCTAGGGTTCTTTTGGAGACGTAGCACCTCACCTGGCGAAACCATCACCGGGTGTGTTGCAGGTCGTTGCAAGGAGCCTGAGTGAGGAGACATCGCTTACAGAAGCAGGTTAAGGGCTATAATTTACATGAGGTCATTTCACAGGAGCATTGTCTGGGAACACACGCCTTTCCACACCTCCCCGCCCAGACCTCGGACACCGTTGCTGATTTTCCCATTTCCCCGCAGTATTTGCAGGAGCGCCGGTTTGTTGAGGACTGTGGGAGGGAAGCACGGGGGCGGGGCGGGGGTCCTTGGCGCATTTCTGGGACCAGAGGGACACTCAGGCGTCCCGGTCTTTCTCAGCAGGGAGCCCCCAACTTCTCGCGGAGGGTCTCCCCATCTGCTGGTTCTTTCTGGGGTGTAGTAACCAGGGGAAGATAGGTTTTTGCAGTGGATTTATTTGACCAAACCTTCACTTTTCATGCGAGGACTCGGAACATGTTCTCCCTGGGACACACGGACTGCCCGGTCCGGTCAGTCCATGCACTCACTTGGTCCTTCCCCAGTGACATTGGTTTTCCACAGCTGAAGTCGTGTCCTGACAAGATGCAGCGGATGGAGGAAACCAAACAAAGCATTAGAAGCATTACCTACAAAGATTTGGGATTGTCCCTGAAAGGTGGGAGGTGCCACTGCTCACTCCCCAAGCCACTCGAATTCCAGAACCAGACATTCAGTGGCCACCGCCCCTCCCGCCCCCGTGGAGCCCCTGCTGGCTAAGCCTTCCCAAATAGGGTCCACACAGGGCCTGTACCTCAGAGTTACGTAAACTGTGATTGTGTTTTAGAGCAATTCCTATTCGCTAAAACCAATTGATTTTTTTTTGTATATGTGTAAATGATCACCAAAATGGGTTTGTGAAGCGCCCTGTATGCGGAGTTGCCCGCAGTGGAGTCTGCCTCTAAGTCCTCCCTGTGACTCTGTGTCTGGTGTCTTGTCTGTTGCGTCTGTTTTTGTGGAGAGACAGCGTCACGCCAACGGAGACACTCCTGTGTAGGGTATTGTGGCTGCCGGTGTTTCTTTCATTGTTTCTTTAGCCACTAGACGCCCTTCCCCATGGTGGTGTTTGGTCTTCCTGTGCATTTCATGGACCTGGGTGGGGTCCCAGCAGAAGGTATTGGAGCCCCTTTCACCATGTTGCTGAGCACATCTTTGTCTGGTTGATACTTTGTACTGCAGACGTGAAATGCTGCGGGTTCGTGTCGATTTCTGATACCAAAGACGAGTCGCAGTTTCTCCCTTTACTTGCCTGTGTGCAGCCTCATGTAATATGGTGAGCGAGAGTGGTGTTTCACTTTGTAATATTTTGTAAATATGTCAATAAAATAAATAGCTACCACCTGCATTAAATGGGTCTCTCCAGAGACGAAGAGTCTTTTCATTGAACGATTCCGTAATTCGACACACAGTAGGCCCCCCTTGGCCATGGGGGGGCCTGCTCCAGGAAGACCCCCAGGGGATGCCCAGAACTGCAGAGGGTACCGAACCCAGTATGTGCTATGGTTTTTCCATAGCACACACACCGGTACACACTACAGTACACACACACTGAGTTCGCTTTATAAATTAGACAGTAAGAGATGAACAATAACTCATATTAAAATAGAATGATTAAAATGATACACCGTGACAAGAGTGGCATATTATGCAGAGTAAGGGTGACTTGAGCACAGTGAGTGTTACTGCCACAGTTACCTGATAACCTGGAAGGCTGGGGAGACCCTGACAGGCAGGCGCCGGACGGAGGGGCGATTCACAGCCCGGGCGGGACGCAGCCGAGCGGCGTGAGATTTCACCCTGGTCCACAGGACGGACTGCCACTTAAAACTTATGTATCGTTTGTTTCTGGGATTTTCCGTTTATGTTCCTACCTCGGGACGTGCGGAACTGAAACCAAGGGGAGTGGACCCGGGGCCAAGGGGTGGTCTGCTGTATCCCAGCCCCATAGCAGACACGGGATGAGAAGCCCTGATTTTGACCAGGTTGGGTCACGATTGTTGTCTAAACTATGAAATATACTCAATAGTCACAAATCACGTCCATTGACAGGTTTACTATGTGCAACGCGCTGTTCTAGATGCTGGGTGTGCACTGACTCACTGCCGCCCCAGGAGGCAGAACCCTGTATTGTTATCCCCATTTTCCAGATGAAGAAACTGAGGCACTTTGAGAGGGGGCCGTTCAACCCAGATGACACAGCTGGCGAGTGTTAGAGCCAGGCCATGTGGCCTCAGCTGCTCCAAGTTTTGTGGGCCAGGAGAGAGATTCGGGTGTTTCTAAGATTGCACAGCCGAGAAGAACCCGGTGAGTTCACCATCGAGGCTTGAGCCATTTGTGATTAACCGGAACTCAGACACGTTCTCTTCCTCCTGCCTCCGAAAGAGAAGCTCACACGAGGGCTGCCCGGAGAGATTGGTGTCAGAAATTGAACTTCTTTTTCTGTTTTGATTCAGAGTTCGCACAAAAAGTAGTGACCTGCTAAACATGAGGGACACAGAGGCAAGTTTCCGGGCACAGCAGGCCATGGGGTCGTGCGCAGAGCCGGAGGCGGGCTGGCCCGGGCGATGGGCCCGATCAGACGTCAGAGGACCAGAAAGGCCGGCAGCTCCCCGCAGTGGCTTCCGTGCTGATGCCCCGCACAACCGGGCTCAGACACATAACCCCCTTTCACTCAAAGGGCGATTCCTTTGATGTTTTTGTTCCGTCTCGTCTGCATGTTGACATGTAGGTCAAGTTCAGACCTTGTAGGCCCTCATCACCACCCTTTGTAATGAGAGGCCAATTGTACTATAATCCCGCCCTTTAGTCATTAGTTCACATGGGCCTCTCTCCTTAGTAACATTCAAGCATTTTCCTTCCATCATGTAACTGAAGTAAAACATGTCAATAACCAGTCTTTCGGTGTCTTGCTTCGTCCTGTGGAACTTGACCACTGTAGAGAAGAGTGACACAAGCATGGCCAGACGTCACACTGCGTATCTGGGTTCCTGTCTCGTCCTGGCCACATAGGACCTGGCCATTTGGAGTGGTGACAGCAGCCACTTCCCAGGAGGTGCCCTGGAACCCCCGTGAAGTCATACACACAGAGTGGAGTCGTGCCTGACTTTGAGGGGACCGTCTCTGTCGTCATTTTCATCGCCATGGTCATCATCGGGCGGATTTGCTGGCAAATTTGGGTAGTTGCCATGTTCACCTTTGAATTCCTTCAGGCCCATTCATTGAGTTAAGGAGCCGAACTCAGCAGGTCCTCAAGGAGACAGTCTCTCTGGGAAGGAAATGAAGCCATTGGATGTGACGGGAAGGGTGGGACCTTTAGCATCAATCAGATCTGGGTTCAAACCCCAGCTCTGCCTTTGCTTTCTCCAAGTGTCTGTAGTAAGGGGGCAATTATTGGAATCCGTCATGAAGAATAAACCATAACATGAGAAAGATGCCTGGCAAAGGGCCTGGACGCCCTTGCGTTTATGACGATAAAATAACTCAGGAACCCAACTATGTCCTTGCAGCCTTTACTTTGAACAGCAGAACTGGTGTTGCGTGTCTGACGTGCGTTCAAATCGCAGATGGAAAAGTGTGGGTGTTCGGGAAGATTAATATGTGAGCCCACAAACAACCTCAGGACTTGAATTTAATAGCTCCACATGGTTTTTACTAGGGAAATGGAATTTTCACTCAGCTCAATCATGGAGACTTGGACAAGTCCATTTAGTCCCTTCATTTTTGCACTGAGGTGAGTTTTGAGATTGACCAGCCCCGGATTAGAAATGTTCCGTCAGGTGGGCAGACTGGAGTCATGAACAAGTCCCCAAATGAAGGTCGGAAAGGAATCCTGTCTCTGGGGAGGTGCCATCGATTGCACAGGACGGGGAAATTGTGACAGAAAAAAAAAAATCTCCTTAGGAAGAACTCCAGACTCTGGCTCTGCTGGAAATGTCCAGAATTTCTAGGCACAGTGAAACTATCATGACACAGATGTTGAGAGGCCCCAGTGCAGAAGTGGGAGGTACACTCAGGTCCCGTGGTGCCCTGACATTGGGGTGCATGCTGACCCCTGAGCAGGGGGACACGGCCCCCAGCAAGGCTGGCGTGTCCAGCCATCGTCGGCTGGCAGAGCCCAGAGACCGCCCCCAGCAAAATGCATGTGGTGTTGTCTCTGCAAACGTGGGCGTGAGTTGGCAAACTCAGCTGCTTCTGCCCTAGCTCTCCGGTTTTGTGAAACTCTGTTTCCTTCATGGCTCACAGAGATATTCAGAGGCTGCGTCAAAGCGTATAGGTTTTCAAATGCACCAGCACTGACCGTGACAGGGACCTCTGTCCAGTTGTGTTTCCAGTAAGTTATCTGCACGACCACTTCCTGGCTGGAAGAAGCACCAGGGTGGCTCCTGGGTCTGCCTTCGTCACCCTGGTGTCCTTCACACCTAGCTGCTGGCGAGAGTGGAAGTCGGAGCGTGTGTGCGGGGTGGATTCCTGTGTGGGGACCCGGGCCACCAACTTGAGACTTCATGGCTGGACAGCTAACTGTGCCTGGACCTCGGACTCCAACAGCTGAGTCCCGTGCAGGTGGCTGGTATGGACCACTCTGCCTGGTTTCAGGAACTGTAACACTCTACCCCCTGTGGCTAAGGAGGAGTTGGTGACCTCTGGAATGTGAGCTCTGGTGGCAAATGCTGCCTCAGTTTCCTCCCTGCCCCCAAAGCATGGTCGGACGAGTAAGACCCCTCAGAGGAGGGGCAAACACGACCACTTGGGAGGCCTTCATGGAAGGACTCGGGGGGCTGCAATGGACTCTCGCCCCCCAGCTTTGACAAAGCCTGAGTCCCCATGTTCTCTGGGAGAAGCGCTTCCTGGCTCTAATCCCCTTAAGCCTGAAGACCTGTTGGGGAGAGGTGCAGCTCCTTGCCTTGCTAGAGTGGGTCCTGGGGAAAAACCCGGCATCACAAAGACTTCCTGATAAACCTGTGAAATCTGCTCTGCTAAGAGTGCTTTCGTTCATATGTTAAGGGTTCGAGCAGGAAACCCTAAAACTCTGTTCCTGACAGACTCTGAAGCCCTCAGATTACTTTGAAATGTTATCTACTGTTTGATCCTTGCTGCCCTGTATTCCTGTGTATTACAACCCACTAAAAGCCTCTGGAGGAAGGGGCTCAACACCTTTTTCCCCCTGAGAAACTGGCCACTGCTCAAGGCCTTTTTCCTCTGGGAAACTGGCCACCTCTCCTCCCCAAGCAGATCACATCATGTCTCAGACATGATTACTCTCATCCGTGGCACACAGGGGGACTTGCAAGCAAAGTCATCCCCACAGGTGGCTGCAGCTGAGTGTCCGAAATCCCAGCCTCTGGTGGCTGCTGGAGACTGGCCGGTGCTTGGCTGGTGTCGGGACACAGCCTCTGCCTCTGAATTAACTGCTCTGCACGTGTGCTGCTGGGCTTCGCCCGCCCCCCGGCCTCATCTGCGATGCATTTCAGTTGTTGCTATTTCCCTCCCACGGTGGCAGAAACACAAATGATCTCCATTCAGCATGTCTTTTCCTTCTGCCAAAGATAATCAGGAAGAAATATCCCTTCATCTACAGTCTCCGGCCTGAGACTTTTGGCATCTCATCAGATCTGGAGCAGTACAGCCCAGGTAGGCTGGTAGGGTCACACTATTCTTCCCATTTTAAAGATGAGGAAACTGAGGCGTGGTGAGAGAACTGACTTGACCAAGGTCACCCAGGTTGGGACTCTTGGCCAAGGAAAGGCTCACACCCAGGTGTCCTGGCCCCAAGTCAAATAAACACTCTTTACATTCGTCGCTGCTATAGCAGTGTCCAGGAGCTTCTGATTTTTAGAGAACTACTTCTATAATCTGCAGCACCTTTCTTCTGAGAATCGTTCATGGTCGCTGCTGTCTCCCCTGGGGGCAGCGGCTGAAATCCGAGGTCGGGCAGACACGTGACTGGGTCACAATCCCCGCACCCTCGGCTGGCCGCTCTGTCAGTGCCTATGAATTGTGTCAGTAAATCTGATCACTTTTTTTTAAGAGAGAGAAACATCAATGTGAGAAACATCAGTGTGAGAAAAGAAACACTGATCAGTTGCCTACCATACATACCCGACTGGGGATCGAACTGGCAACCTGTTGGTAGGAATGTACCCTGAATGGGGATCGAACCCACAACCTTTTGGCGTATGGGATGATGCTCCAACAGAGTCACCCGGCCAGGGCTTGGATGTTTTATTTATTTATTTGTTTGTGCTCCTAATGTGCAGGCAGTCTGGTAGGTGTTTGGCGTATGATCTCATTTAATTCCCAGGAGAACTTGTCAGAGGTAGATATTTTCCAGTCCTCATCATGAAGACTCTACTTCAGGTTGAGTTCC